TGAAGGAGGGAGGAAGAGAAGAAGAGTTGATAGTGGGGAAGCAGGCCGAGGAAGAAGAGGCAAGGATTACTTACCTGAAGCGTGCGGAGCGTCGTGGAGCATCATCGGCGATATCTTCAAAAAGAGAGAAGCACCTCCTTCTCCTTCTCCTTCTCCTTCTTCTTCTCCTTCTTCTTCTTCTCCTTCTTCTTCTTCTCCTTCTTCTTCTTCTCCTTCTCCTTCTCCTTCTCCTCCTCCTCCTCCTCCTCCTCCTCCTTCTTCTTCTTCTTCTTCTTATTATTATTATTATTATTATTATTATTCGGGGTCCTTCAGGGTAGCGCAGCACAACCCCGCCTTCAAAAAAAAAATAAAAAAATTCCTTGCTGTGTTTTTTGCGTCGCCCCGTTCAGCCGGGCGGGCCCCCCCGGGCCCAACCGGCCGGGTGCCGGCCCAGCCTAGGGAAAAAAAATTAGAAAAGGTGGCGGGGGGGCGAAGAAGAAAGATTCCTTGGTTGGTGTACGCCAAAGACTGCCGCTACATGCAGACAAAAAGGGCGCAGGGCTGAAATTGGCCCGATTTCACGGAGGGTAAGCCCAGACTAGATGCAGTTGCAGTTTACGACGCCAATAACTGTTCAAAACTCAGACCAACCCTTGCAGAGGGAAACATGAAGACCTGTGTGCACCAGGCCATTCACTCCGATGAACCAGCTGAAAAAGGGCAGGCCTCCTGGCAATCAGGAAGGTTGTACAAGGTAGTTGTCGTTTAAGCAGCCAAGGAGGCAGTTGCTACGTTCAGCAACAGACTGTACCTGCAGGCAAAAGGCTATGCCCAGCCAATCAGGAAAAAGGGCAGGCTGGCTGGGTTTCTGTTCTTTTTCATTTCTTTGTTTTTTCCCCGTTCGTAGGTGTTAGGTGGGCCTGACAAAGAATCGGTCCTGGGAAGATCTTTTTCACTGTAATGGAGGACCTTGGTGGTGGTGGTGGTGGTGGTGGTGGTGGTGGTGGTGGTTGTAATGGGTCAATAAGTGGTGGATGGGGGAAAGTGTGAGAGGGTTGGGTGTGTTAGATTTCTATGCCCTAGGCGGGTTGAGACTGACCGTGGTAAAAAAGTTGACGATAAAATGGAAAAAAGGTATCCACAGTGAGGTCCTAAGGTGCTGACAGTTTCACACAACTGTTTCGCTGAATAGTCAAGGAGTCGACTCAATGATGAATCTTCATGCAAAGGTAAAAAAATGGTCCCTGAAGGGCCTGAACCCCATCAAGCCCAGAATTAAATAGCGAAGAGTACTGCCCGAGTACGAACTGGGACACACATGTTTTGCTGTGGGGTCGTCATTGCTGAATTTGCACTGTACCAGAACAGTCGAGGAGTGAAATCGGTGATGGATGTACCTCTTTCTTTTTTTTGCTTTTCATAAAACAGGACCTTATGCTCCGGGTTTCAGTCTATTGAACTATATTCTCTTGCGGGTATCTTCTCCTGTGTGCGCAGCTTTGAATGCCGCCTTGCCCTTGGAGGTTTTGACTCTTGGAAGTGTGAACCCTTGTTTTGGTTCTTGTCTTTGTTGTGAAAAAAATTGCAGAAACAACTGGAGCTGCTTACAGATCACCGATGCTCTGTGATTTACGGAAGCTTGCCCCCAGAGACACGGCGCCAGCAGGCGAAGTTGTTCAATGATCCGAATAGCGGGTATGATGTCTTGGTTGCGAGCGATGCTGTTGGTATGGGATTGAATCTCAATATCAACCGCGTTGTCTTCTTCTCTTTGCAAAAATTCAACGGAGCTGAGAAAAGACAGATCACCCCATCGATGGTGAGCGTATGCCCCGTTGCAGTTTTTCCTCAAGTTGCTTTTAACCACTTGGCCACTCTCCGGAAGAATTCAGCATCCTACAGGATTCGAACCTGTGACCTTCTCTCGCTTCTTCGTCACTTTATGTGCCCCTCTAGTGCCTTGTGAATTCCCATCCTCTCCTTTCTATGACTGTCTGAATTGCATTTTGCTCCACGTGCATTTTGCTCAAGCAATTGTAGTCAGCATGTATGTGGTATGATCAGCCTTCCGTGTTTTTTTTTTTTGTTTTTTTTTTTAATCAGTGTTTCGATAGTGTTTTCACTGCAGCTTAGTGGACTTCTGTCAAATTTCTTTTGCTATGCCAGTCTGCCAGATGTTTTTCAATGTTTTTTGGGCACAAATACTATTCACTGAGTGAGTGTGTGCTATCGTGTTCTCTAAGTGCAACTCCAATGGGAGAGAGAGAGAGAGAGAGAGAGAGAGAGAGAGAGAGAGAGAGAGAGAGAGAGAGAGAGAGAGAGAGACCATAGTGACTGCTAAGAGTTCAAAGACGGCTAGCTGTACATGTCTGGTGCCTGATTGGGCAAGCCAGCTCTAAGGATAAATAGGGGGTTAGGTGCAAAGCCTGGGGAACCTAATGTCAGAGCTACACGGTGTCAAATGGATAAAAAAGATATATGGGAAGATAACGCCACCTGCTTTATACTTTTACCGTTCCTCCATAGAGAAGAGTCGGGGAAAGATAACTGAGGTAGAAAGGAGCCGCTACTTGTCTGTCTCTGGCAGTTCTATGTATCCACTGCGCCCGCCTTCCAGGAGAAGGTGCACTATGCATTTCCTTATGCGGCCAATCCACTGACATGGGAAAACACTTTAGAAGAGTCCAGACACCAGACATTAATGTAGAATGAGTACTGAGCTACCTGGCCACTGTGCAGGTAGGTGGTACTTTTCTTCATGTAATCAATGGGACAGTTTTCCAGGGCTCGAACTCTGGATCTTTTTGGTACCAGGCTACCAGCTGATTTTGTGGGTGCCACTCATTTGGACCTTTTGGCACGAAGGAATCATCCATACAACAGGGCTTTTCTTACAAATTACTAGTTCCCTGTTTTTTTTGCAGATTTCTTCCTTGGCCATTTTGGCGCCAGAGCTCCATTTTTCAGTTTTTGAGCTCTTTGGCGCCTACGGTTTGGCCTGACCCTGTCGAGGCCCAAGCTTCAGTTGGCCTCAGTACTTATATTGACAGTTCACTGCACTGTTTTCTCATCAAACGCTTCTCTATTCTCGACTCAAGAATTCATGGCTCTGCTGGAAGCTTCGTGCGTAGAGTCGTAAGCTCGTGTCAGTCTCTCTGCTGCATACTGGTGAATACTTCACCTAGCATGGGCAGAACCAAAGATCAACCAATATAGGATGAGCATGTATGCAGCGGAAGTGTGAGAAATGGACTGACTCGCATAGACTGAACTCGCCTAAACATCACTCAACACAAGCAATCGTGAGATGGTGGGGTCTGAAGCCATACATAGACGATGCTTCAGCCCCGTACAACCATACACAGATGAATGGTGGAAGGAGAGACGATGGAGGTGGGAGATATGGACAGCGCCAGATGTCACCGAGATAGAATCCAGAAGGTCACTGATATGGTAGCCCAGAATGTCACCGAACAAACTCAGAATGTCGTGGACATAAGTCACCAATGTCGGAGGTACAGAATCCTAATGTAACCGATATCCGATCCGTGATGCCGCCAGGTATCAATCCCAACTATCTCCAATGTCTCGAATACGGTAAGAATCACATCCTCCTACCACCAAAGTCCAATCACTGATCTCTGCCCAACTCGTATCAATAGTCTCCAGTCTGAAGAAGAAGAAGAAGAAGTCTGAAGAAGAAGGAGAAGAAGAAGAAGAAGAAGAAGGTCCGAGAGGGCAGAGGAGAAGTGGAGGCGGAGAGAAGAGAGAAGGGGGCGGAGGTGAGTCCTCCTGCCCGTGCCTTGCTGTCCAGGTCCTACCTGCGATGGCAAGGTGTGACCTTGGCACTGCTGAAGGCAGGCGACAAAGACCGGAGCTATGGACGCTCCTGCAGGTAAGTCGGCGGCTGCTCCTCTAACCTCCAGTGCGCTAATCTGCGCTGCTCGTCCTGATGCGCTGAGCGCTTGCGCTACTAAACTTAGCGCAGCGCTACCTCACTGCTGCGTTCCTCCGAAAATGCCTCCTGAACAGACCGCCGCTGGGTACTAAGTACTGTGGTGGCCTGTCCAGCCTTGCTGCTGCGAAACGACGCCGTGATCTGAACCGTCAGATCCGGTTGCCGATCTGCGGTTTCAGATCGACCTTGCAGGCGGCAGCCTCAAGGGCGCCACCGGTCCAAACGGTAAGATCATTTGGACCTTGTCCGCCTGGGCCTGTGCGACGGGGCCTACGGGGCGGCCTTCGCATAAAGGTCCGGCCTTTGGACCGGACCGCCCTGGACTGTCGTGTTCCAGGTCTGTGGTAATCCCTAGGACTAGTGGTCGGGGCCGAAAGGGACCCGTGTGAAATGCAGTATGTAACACTCTCTGTCTCCTCCTTGCTTTTCCCCCACTCACAGATTCTTGCTTCTACGGGTGAGAGCCTCCAGCAGAGTCTAAGCTCGAACCTTCGGCAGCATTCGTGGTCCTCCCTTTCTCCTACTCCCGGTGCTATCAAACCTAGCTAGCTTGTGTGTGTGTGTGAGTCGAGTTTCTCTCTTTCCTGCACGATCGCTCCTGACCCTGGTGTGTTACATTGCCTTTTTTTTATTTATTAATTACGATTTGGACCATTTCTCGATTTACGCGTGCCATCCTTGCGTACGACCATGCTAATCTTCTCTTTATTGTTCCAATTTTAACGGATGTCCTGAAGGATGGTGTGTTACATTGCTACTCATGGCTATCTTCTTTTTTTCGGTCAGTGGCTGGGCCAAATACAATAAAAAGTTTAAAAACTATTGAAAAGACAGAATGTTGCCGACGGCTTGAGAAGCAGAAGAGTGTTCGTGACCACCCCATGAATACAACAGAGCGCAAATCTTTGCAGATTCCCCCAAGCAGGAAGTGGTGAATTATGTTTGAATGTTGCCCCAATTTGATTGATATCCATGTCTGTGTTGCCCATTTTTGACAAAACAGGGAGCAATGCGTGTACGTGCCTGAGGTGCAGAGAGGTAGATATCAGAAGTTGGAGTGCATACTTCTGTGTTTGCCTCCAGCACTGGAGTGTGGAAGGAATGGAGAGAAATGGAGAGGTCAAAGGTGGAGTTTTGGTAGGGATCTAGAGAGGCGTCATCCACTGCCTTCTATTAAAGTTCTTCGGGTCGGTTGTAACACAGGTCGGGTGTAACGCTAACCCGATTGTGCCCATCTGTGAGATGGTGTTACATGCTGAAAGCCTACACACGGGCCCCTTACGGGACCCGAGGTTGGAATAGGGCCCCCAGGTCGCGTCACCGCAACCTGAAGGCCCTATGGCATTTTTACCTGGGCCTGCATCAGAAAAACGCCAGCTTTAGATTATTTTTATAGTCTTTATTTTATTTATTTGCTGCTGTTTTTCTAACGGGTGTACTGTTGTCCGTTTTGTGGCCAGGTACACGTTTTAGGACCAGGGCCAGATTCAGGCCCAGAGGCTGAGCTCCTAAAAACGTTTCGACCTTTTCTTTTGTTTTCGAACAGATTTTGACCTGTTCGGACCCAGGCCGACGTTGAGGCCGGGTACGTCCGCACAGGACCGGTTCGAAGCCAGGTACCAGGAAACTGAATCCTGGACAGGGCCTGGATGTCCGATAGGGAACCAGGCAGGCCGTTTTAGGCCAAGGACTGAACCAGTTTCCGAAGCCTGCGATCTGGACCGTGGATCGGAGTTTYGATCTGCACGGTCCAGAACGCAGGCCGTGGGTTTTCAGTCCTGGCCCAGCGCTACTTAAGCTGGGCCATTGCCCAGTTCGGACACAGGTACCAGGAGAAATCCAGCGTTATGCTGGTTCAGGAACTTCGCTGCTGCGCTATTCTGGAGACTCCCTGCTGCGCTATTTCGAGACTGCAGCTACGCTGCTCATCGGCAATGAGGCACAGCGCTGGAGGAGTCCAGCGCCGAGGAGGGTAGTGGAGTTAGAGAGAGAGAGAGAGAGAGAGAGAG